CTCAACCAATTAACTCTCCTATGTAAGAAAATGTTGAATTAAATATTACTTCTTGAAAGACAACGGTACCCAGAAATCATTTACATTTACCTCTGACTGAAATCTGAAGCATTTTTGTTTGTGGTGTATTACTGAGACACTTAAAAAGTATCACTTAATTATTTTGACCTCAGTTGGAAGCTAGATTTGTTTTGCAAATACAGGTGTTAGGGGTAACCACCTGCCCTCTTGCTTGTTCTTTGTGTAGTTGTGGTCACTTGGAGTTGGGTTTTCGAAACAAACAGCACTCCTTGTGTGCCCTTTTATTCCCTTCCCTCTTTTTTTTGGTTTGCTGCTTTGCTTGGTGCCTTTACTTTCAGGATATTTGGGCATTCATAAACAAGGCAAGATGCTATGTATTGGACTGAGCTGATACTGATCTATCCTTGCGATGCGTCTTATGTACTCCTGCTGTCACATGCAGTCAGCAAGTTCATGTGAGATCATGACAAAATGACAGTTATTTTTTAAAAAGCACTAAATTAATTTATCTCATTGAGTACTAAATTATGGCCCTGGGAGCCAGTGAGCCTCAGATGAAAGAGATGGGCCAGGGCAGTTATGAGCAGTTATAGTGCCCACAAAGTGGTTGAAGGAGCCATTCTGCTAGCTTAAGGTAGGATGCTCCTGGGGTTGCTGGGAGAAGCACACTTTGCAGTGTAAATTGCTACAAGTTCCTGTACAAACAAATATGATGTTTTTCCCCCTCCAGCACTCCTCCCAGGTTTGGGAGGCTTCTAGAGGCGGTGTTGTGGCACAGTTCCTCTTGTACACATCAGGGGAGCTGTTTAAGGGATTGAATCCCTAGCCCATTCTATGGTGGAGGGAGGGAAATGGGAACAATTTCCCTGCCCACCCTTTTTCTTCATCCACCTTCCCAAGACAACCAGCTGGTGAAAACTGCAGATGCAAAACCTGTGAAGTTTTCAGTTCCTTATAAGGAAATAACTCATAGATGGGACAATATGCCCCTAAACTATACCAACTTGTTTCCATCTATATCTCTTTACGTGCAAACCCTTTGCCTCTTGATGGACTTCATGGAGTCTCTGCCCTCTGTTTTCTGATTTCCCCCCTTTAAAATATTTTTTTCATGGTATCCTCTTTCCCTGAAAATGTCATACTGAAAGAGAAAGAAAGGAAAGGTGTGTGTGTGTGTGTGGGGGGGGACTGGAAGGGTAGCTGGAGGAGGAAGAACATGCCTTTATTAAAATATTCACACCAACCTCTATTGCTCACCAAGAATGGAACACTTTTGACGTTGAGAGCTCCCAAGTTCTTTATGTTTTCAGTCTTTAAGGTTATTTTATTTTATTTTCTCCTTAGTCTTTAGATTGACTCATCCTAGACCAGGGACAATGACCCAACAGGAAACATAGATGTTTCATCTGCTAGCATGACGATGACATGGATGTAGGAGAGATGGGAGCATTGGCAGAATATGTGACATCCTGTGCCCATTTGTTAATTCTGTTCCAGAATGTGAGTGAGGACTTTACTCCTCCTTCTGAGAGGATCAGCAAAGTGAACCTCACATTGTGGTACCTCCTCTTTCCTTGTTACAGGGATGCCCCAAGCAAGCAGTACATGGCCTCCACCTCACTGAATTGGCTCACTGAATAGGCTCCGTGTGCGTGTGAGAGAGAATAGGTGTAGAGGATACAGGAGGAAGAGTATGTATCAGAGTGAATTTGGAGGGGAGAAAGGGGGCACAGAAACAGTGGAGAGAAGAGGTGAATCAAGGAAGTGAAAAGGAAAAGAGAAATTAGGATTGAAGCCACACACCCTGATACAAAATGCTTCAGCCTGTCGGCTTGGCAACACAGGTTACCACAACCTAGCATCCCAGGGATCTGCTCTCTGTACCCGCTCCCTATTGAAGACAGGGGCCAGTTCAAGGTCTCTGTCCTCATATTCAAATTCTTCTATGAGGTTTGGGGCCCAGCTACCTGAGCGACCACCTCTTCCTCCATGATCCTGACCTGTCACCACAGCTACATTCCACCAAAACAACTCAAGCTATTGACTGATTTGGGGAGGCTTCTGAGTGCAGGAGACAGAACTTTCACTTTCACCGGAGCTGGACCAAGGCTATGGAACTTGCTCTCACGAGAGATAAAAATGACCACAGACCTCATCATTTTCAGAACTAAATGCAAAACTCAGTTCTTCCACTTAGCTTCCCTTCAGTAATGTTTTTCACATACACATTGGGATACACAACATACACACTCTCACACACACACACAAAAATCTGCTTTGATTCTTGTCTTCTGTGTACTTCCCCTTAAATTTCTGAGAGTCTATTGGAGGCAGCTACTCTTTTGTGTCGAGTTCAGATACAGAGAGTCACAAAGGAGAAAAACATGGTGCTCGTTCATGGAGACTTTACTTTCGTTCTTTCTTATTTTTGTTGTTTCTTTTAATCTAAAATAAATAATTCAGACTGAAAATACAATTTTGCCAACTCATGGTTTTCTTAAGGCACCAGCTCCTGGAATCATGCGATTCTGTGACAATCTCATCTTTTTTTCCTTTTCTTTCCTTTTTCAATTTTTTTAAAAGTAAATTTATCGCTCTTATGGTTGTGAAGAAAAGCTTGGAAATGTGAATTTCTTAAGGCTCAAAAACTAGATGTTGACCAGATGTTGACCAGAGAACCCAAAACATATTATTTAAAATCTCATGACCTTTAAGCCAATCTCATGATTTTGAAGGGCCTGGCACATGAGTTTTGAACACATGGGATTGGCAATATTGAAAGTATATAGTTGCTCTTTGTGCATGGCAAACATCCCACTATATAGTGACCAAACTCGGAGTTGTTTTGAGGGGTTCTGACAAGAATTTTATCCAGTTTTCCTTACTCAAGGAAGTTCACCACAACATGTGGCCTTAAAGATGTGGAAAGAAGAGTAAAACCCAGGAGGAACATCGTGTTTATAACACAAAATATATGAAAATGGATGTGCAAATCCATGTCCAATCAACAACAATTTGGTGTGGAGGAGGACAGAATTCAAAAGCAATGAACATGATGAACTCATAACTTCTTCAGCTCTTGTAAAATAGTCCCCAAAACTCCCAAGGAATTCCAGTTCAATCTTCTGAGCATTAAAAGTCCTAATTGTTTGAAAAATGGTTCCACTAGCACCTTTGCAGAGATGAACCAATGGTGGGAGCTTTACTGCCTGAAAAATTTGCAAAGAAAAAGATTTGAGTGAATATCATCCTAAAATATCAGTGTCTAATTTCACAGGTTAATTTTGCAAACTGTTGCTGTCAATTTACATTCCTAGTGGCCACCTCTGGGAGACAACATGCATCTGTGTCTAATGCCCTTGGATCCATCTTTCAGGAGAAAAGGGTGGAGACCCTATTCCATTAAATCAAGCTCTACATATTCAAGGAAAGAAAAATATGACAGCTAACAGGCTATGCCAGGAACAGCTAAATATAGATTCAGTGGAAAAGGGTCTTCACCCTGAAATGTTTCAGTTTCTAGTGAGGAAATTCAGGGTCCTACTGATGGATCACACTGGAACTGAAAGATACTCTCCTTTTTCTCCTGAAAGATGGATCCAAGGGCATTGGGCACAGATGCTGTCTCCCAGAGGTGGCCAATAGGCCTTATGTACACCTTGCCTCCTTACCTCCTGCTACCCAGAACTATCCAGAAGATTAGGAGGAAGATGGCTGTGGTAATATTAGTGGCTCTGTATGGGCTAAGGAGGTCCTGGTTCTCTAGGCTCCCCAACATGGCTCAGTTGACCCCAGTGTCTTCCCTTTAAGACAGGATCTGCTCTCTCAGGGACCAATTTGTAACCCAGAGCCAAAGTATCTAAGATGAACTGCCTGGTCTTTGAACGATTTTGCATGAAGAAGAGAAAGTATTCAGAAGGTATAATCTGTGCTATTGGCATGTATATAAGTTTCCAAAAATCTTTCCTATTCTAGAACATGATGGAAGTTAAACAGTGGTGCAAGAAATGTAGCTTCTCTCCTTCTTCACTTGCTAGATTGCAGATTTTGGAATTCTTACCAGAGTGTCTGATCAAGGGCTTCACAAACTAAAATGTCTAGTGGCTGCACTATCAACATACTTTCCTCCACAGGCAGGAAGTGGATCTCTTTTTACTGGCATATCAAGCATTTCCTCACAGCCACACCTTTACTTCATCTTCCTAAGATTCATTAGGCACTGCCATGGTCCTCAATTTGGTTCTTAAAGACCTGATTCTACTTCCCTTTGTGTCCCTCAGGAAGGTATCCATGTATTTCTTCTCCATCAAGGTGGCTTCCTGGTAGCCATCTCTTCTGCCCAACACTTGCTTGTATTTAAGCGCAGCCATTGGCTGGAGGATTGTCCCCCCAGCATAACTGTTTTGGGCTCTGATATTTTTGTCAAGCCACGTCACATCTAACTTTGTCTATCCCTGCTCCTCAGCCTGGCCTAACAATTTCTAACTTTTCAGTGTTATTAATAAAAATGATAGTATAAGAAATAACATTTTTTTCAAATGAAAAATAAAAGTTAAAAGGCATCACAGCTGTCGCCGAGGCTTCACCAAAAGCCATATCAGCAGTTTCTGTTTTAAAAACATTTTTGTTCCTTTCCCTTGCACTGATGCAGCTGCAGCTTTCGACAGTGCTTCATCTATGGCTGATCTGCCTATTAGTGTTCACTTTTCATTAAAAAATAAAGAGATGGTTTTTAACACCTCCAGATTTATGTCTTTTAAACTCTGAAAGTGAAGGTTAAATGTAGCACTGCATCTGGTGAAGCTGTGTTAAAACCAAGGTCAAGTATTTTACATTTTAGGTGTGGGAAGATCTGTTTGTTCTCCTATTGAATTCTGAATGTCAGCTGAAATTGTCAAAAGTCGCTCCAAAAACTTGAAGTAGTAATAAAATACTGTGGCTATCTGAATACTAATGGAATCTAATTTAATTTTTTCTAGGGGCTAACCAAAGATGAGAAAAGGAATTCCTACCCAACCATCAATATTTGGGTGAGCTGGAGCAGCACTGTATTCCATAAAAGCCCACGACAGCATACTGTTTTGACCATTGGAAGGCAGATTTCCTCAATATACATTGTGATCATTGCTTTTGTCGTTTCCTCAAAGTGCTTTCCTCTTCCTAATAACTTTACCTCCATCTGCATGGGGTTAGCTTGAGCCAGCTTTCTATCATCCAGGACCCAGTCTCCTTCAGACACTGAGGCAGTTGGACAATAGCATTGTCTCCGTTAGATCTGAAAAAGATGTAGAGCTGGATGTCATCAGCATATTGATGACACTGTAATCCATGATGATGCATGACCTCCCCTAACAGTCTTACTCTCTTGCAGTGTCATAACAGACAGGGATGTTTGAACCCCTGGGACTTCACAGGAGAGAGCCTATGGGGATGTATAGTTGCCTATTGTCATCCTCTGAGACTTATCCAAAGAATGAGCAGAAAGATATTGCTACATTCCAATGTAAAGGCATGCCTACTTAAGTCGTGTAAACCCAGTGTAAATTATCTCCTTGGAACTTCTAATTCTGTAATCTTGGGTAGTGATGTTCCTTATTCTTTTTTATTCTTTTTTCTTTCATCCTCTTCGGTGTCTTTTTCTTGGTCATTGTCATTTTGTCAGCAGTATAATTAAGTCTCTGAACAAAATATACAACTGCAATGACTATTCATGCCAGCAGCTGTTATAATACTGATATCTAAACAAAGAATTAGTACACCACTGACACAAAATATATGGACTATGAATTGACTATTTAACATTTCTGTCTCTGTCTTACAGCTGACTTAGAATCTGATATACATATGTAAAAATACAGTGTATTGCTTACTATTACAGTAAGAGCGTCACTGTTAATGAATGGAATGGCATATAGAACGTGTGTTTTGTACAATTCTATTTGTTATTTTAAAACATTAAAGTTATTAAATATTTTTTTAAATGACCTCTATTAGTAGCCAATTATTCATGTTAAAAGACCTAGTATGATCATCGTTACACCATACACAGAGGGAGTCAACACAACGGCTCTTGAACTCAATAAGAACATCCACAATTGAATGTTTACTCTATTGCAAGGAGCTGTTTTCTCCACATGCTGGCTACACTTCATTGACATCCTCATTCCTTATGAGTCCCGGAGGGTGGCAATAAGCAACTATACCTCCCAGTGGGCTTGTGACATCCAAGAGGGCTCAGTCCTGTCATCCCCTCCTTTTATGCAACTGCAAAAGAGTAAGGCTGTTAGGGGATGTCATGAGTCAAACATGCTAAGTTATTCTCCCCCACTGAAGCCAAAAGGTGAATCAGCATCACTTTATTTTTCATTAAGTGCCTGGCACTTGTGAAAGTTCTAAGGAACCTTTGGAACACTGGCATTACATCCGGCACCTTTTAGCACTTACATGTGGAGCCTTCAGCATATGTTGTTTCAACAAGTGGAACTTGTAGTTGCTTACTACTTAACTTCAACTTTTAAAATATGCAAATTAAGGCATAATAGGGTAATCTTAATTAGTTGGCCTAATTTGCATATTTAATGTCAAGCTTCAAATATGAAGGTTTGATCCCGATAGCTCCCAAGATATCTGCACTAAAAATAAACTATCCCCATTGGTTATAGCCGCCATGGCAGCAAACACGTGTGCCACTTGTTGGACAGTACAGATGTATGAGTCTGTGATGCCTCAGTGAACACAGCTGACTTCTCAGATTCTGCAACATCTAGAACCATAAGCCACCCCTTCTGAGGAGTACAGGAAAAGCTCAGTTTTCTTTCTTTTTTAAATAGCTTCCTTGTCTTTTCCTTGCAAAGATAACTTTGAATATAAAACTGGGGCAAACCCATTACTAGGGTTGAGAACTTGTCACTGATTTTATTCTTAAGATCCCTTCATCTACACATGGGGCCAGGATCTGGAGCCCAGAAAAAACAGCATAATCAGACTCTTGATATTTTGGAAGAAAATCAAGCTCGCAGCTGTGGAGGTCAGTCCTGGGGTTAATGATGATGGTATGAGGACAAGCTCCCTCCCAGTCAGCTATATGCAGCTCAGGCAGGTCCTATGCTGAGCAACATGCATGACTTTAAAATGGCCACGAAGAGGGGCAGCTCAATATGTGAGAAGCAGCATGAGTTAGTTGACTACGCAAAGGACAGAGAACAAGGCATTATTCCCAGCTCTGAGTGACACCTCCTCTCCCACAACCCCCATGGCTTTTAGCAAGTCAGTTTTCCTTCTCTGCCACACAGATAATCCCGGATTCTGAGCTCAAGGTTGGGAGCAAGGATGTCACAGAATGTGTGAGCAAAACATTTCCAAACTGGCTTTCCATGGGCTTTACATTATGAGGGAGAGTGGGGCAGAATCCAGCCCATAGTCCTTCTTTTGCTGAACATTTAAGTTCAAAGTCTGTCCTATCTCCACCACAGAAGGTTAGTTGGGCCTGCACAGTAGGCTGTATTGCAGAACAAGTACAGCAAGGAAAGCTGATTATAAATGATGAGCTGTGAACCTAGCCCTCACACAGGTCCTCTGCAGGGAAAAACATGAACTTTCCCATCAGTCCTCACTGGAATTATTTTAACTGCAAGGATGCAAAGAAAACACAAGCTAATTATAAAAGGAACATTGTCTTAATATCTTAATGAAGCAGTTTTGCTAACAGTGAGAGACCTGAATTTTAATGCATTTTAAGAGCTTCTTGATTACGTGTTTGTTAGTTGATATGATCATTTTAAATTATCTGTATGTGGCTTTACTCCAGGTTAAAAACTGCATTAAGCAATGTACTCTAAACAGGCGTTAATGAAGCAGGAGAGTAACACAAACATTGTTGTTAAGAAATTCACTTAAAAAGAAATCTAAACTAGTTAATGTAAAACATGTCATCGCACCCGACAGATACACCTATCAATATAATTGTTTATACACTTGCCAGATAATTCTTCAAACATATTTTCTTCTGAAAATAGTATTCCATGAGATTGACAGCTAGTGTATCTCTACCACTAGTTCCTGTTTAATTTTGCAGTACATTGCATACAAATTCTCTGACAGACAGAGAAAACTTGCATTAAAACATTGAATGCTGAGGAAGTTGAAATTAGGAATGGGTATACCAGTTTGGAAAATCCCATTCCATCTCTCAGCATTAGAACCAATCCCTCTTTTTTTGTTCTGAAGATGTTTTGTTGCTCTTCTGATTCTGCTCTGGATAGGGCAAAGAACCTGAAAAATGATTAATTATGAGTGTATCCAGTGGGAGATTCCTATCTATTCTTTCCACAGAGGTTAATGTTGAAGTTTGGAGGTTCATAAATGATCCCATGGTAATTCATAATCATCAGTATTAGTTTAAGAAGCTTGCTGATAAAGTTCTTACATGTAGTAAATTTGACTGTTAGTTAGCAAATAGGACATACTTTGGTGTTGCTTAAGTAAGTTGTATATAGATTACTATTGTTCATCTTGTTATAAATGAAACTACAATTTTTGTTGCAGTCAGTGGAGATTAAAAATATATTTAAAATCATATGCATCTTCATGAGAATTTGTAAGGGCAAGTAAGAAACAGAATCTTATTTAACATAGACAACTATTGAAAACATTCTAATTGCATGGCTCAGTTTAATTTATTTTTAGGTCATACTGCCCTCTAGGGGATTAAGCATATAACCGAGTGTTTTTTGCATATACAATTTTCCTAATTCAGACTTTCTTACTTCAAGAAAAAAGGGGATACTTCCTTTGTACTGCAGTAGAAATATTGCCAAATATTATTTGACAATTTCACAAATAATTATTTTAAGTATTATTTGCATTATTTCCCTAGAAACATTCTTAATAATTAGCACATAGCCACAACTGTACACATACAGGGACCACGCTTCAAATGTGTCCACAATCCCACATTAGAATGCTTGTATAGGATACAATTCAAAGCCTACTGAAATAAATGGGAATTTTTCCATTGACTTCAATGGGTGTTGCATCAGGCTCATAAGATCATTTACATACTTTAATGTCTGAGCATCAAAATGTGGAATTTAGATGTTCAAGTTTTTAAAAAGTGGATCTTCTGGCTATAGCAAATACTATGCATGCAGTCAGAAGCAAATGCAAGTCATCTATACTAATGGGTTTATCACATTTTATAAAATCACGGTAGAATATATTTAATGTGTATTTATTGCTTTTTCAGATGTACAGAGAATCCCAGTCTACAGTATATTTTTATCATGCCAAAATGTTTAAAATAGAATCAAATGCAGATTATTTGAAATATCAATAAGCACGGGGATTTTTAAAGATGGAATAAAAAAGGTAGAAGAAGAAAATGAAAAGAGAGGGAAGAAGGAAGGGGAAAGATTTGTAACCACTAGATGGACTGGTATATAAAAATGCTTTTTCAAAGGAGACAACTTTTGTTAAGGAGATAGGCTAACATTTTCAAAAGCACCTAAGTGACTAAGGAGCCCAAGTCTTATTTTCAAAAGCGATTTAGGGCCAGATTTTCAATAGGAATCAATAAAAGTTAGGCACCTAGGCACTTTTGAAAATCCTATTAGACACTTGCCTACATCTTTATGCATCTAAATGCCTTTGAAAAATCTAGCCCTTAGATACTTCTTTGAAAAAAATGACACTACTATCACCACCCCCTGCCCCAAATCATTTCTTGTATTCCAAATAAAAATAAACCAACTAAATAATGAGTGACGTGCACTTTGGTGTTTAAGTCCCATTGAAAAATCAATGGATGTTAGGCTTCTCACAGATTGCCCAGCAGTTCAGACTACAGGGGTGTGAGTAGCAGTGCATGCCAAAGTGCTGCACTGTAACTCCCTTGTGTGGACACTGTGGGCACGAACCGAACTAGGAACCTTTTTGTTTGTGCCCACAGTATCCACAAGGGGGAGTTACAATGCTGCTATTCACACCCCCATAAACTGAACTGTGGGGCAGTGTAGACATAGCCTCAATCTCTTAGGCAATCTTGAATTTTTACCTGGAATTCCAGTTCTCCGTTTCTGACTTGCAGATAGTGCTTTAGCATCACAGTCCTAGTGCAAATGACATACATGCCTGAATTAACTAAAGTTTTATTTTGAACCTCTCACTACTTTTTGAAAGTATTTACCTGGGGGAAATTAGCTTCAGTGCAGAGGACCTGTGCAAGGCACTTCACACCATGTGTGCCTTAGGGATCTACTGTGGGTTTGGGATGAGGGATTATGGCATGCCCCATGTAGGGGTGGTGGAGTGGCCTCCACATCCACTAGGAGGCTTTCACAGCAGCTCCAAATAAATTGGGATAGTCTGCAGCTGGGGAGTATCCTCTATATCAGTGTTAGCTAACATATTAGGGTTACTGCCCCCTAGGGATCTCCATGATTAGCTATCACACATTAAAATATAACTGGCCCTGTCTAGCTATGAACTGTAAAATGTGTTAGTTACAAAATTTTTGCTAACAT